TGAAGAAAATAGATACAGAAGGACTTTGTCTCAATCTGGTGAAAGCCATTTAGAAACCTACTGCCAAAATAATATTAAATGAGGAAAAAATGAAAGCTTCCCCTCTAAAATCAGGAACAAAGCTGGGCAAGGTGGTACATGCCTGTAATCCCAGAACTCGGAAGATGAGGCAGGAGGCTGTTGTGAGTTTGAGGACAACCTGAGCTACATAAGTGAGTTCAAGGCTAACCTGCACTATGTAGCGAGACCCTGTCTCAAAAAATAAAATATAATAAAATAAAATCAGGAATGAGACAAAGATATTCACTCTCACCACTCCTGTTCAACATACCTTGGAAACATTAACCAGAGCTATCAGGCAAGAGAAAGAAATAAAAAGAATATACATGAGAAAGAACAAAGTCAAAATATCATTACTTGCAGGTGACATTATCCTCTACTTACAAGACCCAAAAAATTTTGCTAAAAGACTCCTAGAAAAAGAAAAAAAGACTCCTAGAATTAATAATCAAATTCAGCAATGTAACAGGATATAAAATCAATGCACAAAAATTGATAGTGTTTCTATACACTAATAATGAATTCACTGAGAAAGAAATTAGGAAAACAATACCATGAACAGTAGCACCAAGAAAAATTAAGTACTTAAGAACTGACCTAACCAAGGAAGTGAAGTATACCTACAATGAAAATAACATCACTCTGAAAAAAGAGATTGAAGAAGATATTAAAATGGAAAGATATCCCCACTTTCCTGAATAAGCAGAACCAGTATAGTCAAAATGGCCATACTTCCAAAACTGACATATAGATTTAACACAATCTCAATCAAAATACCAACAGCATTTGTCACAGATCTGGAAAAGCAATCAAAAAATTTATGTGGAATCAGAAGAGACTCAGAATAGCAAAAGAAATTCTGGGTAGCAATGGCAAAGTAAGAGTTTTCATGATCCCAGATTTGAAGTTATATTATAAAGCTACAGTGATAAAAACATTATGGTACTGGCACCAAAACAGACATGTGGATTAATGGAACAGAATAGAGGAAAGAGAAACAACCTCAGCCCCATTAAGCTATTTGATAGTTGACAAAGGGGCCAAAAGCACGCAATGGAGGAAAGATAACCTCTTTAATAAATGGTTCTGGGAAAATTGGATATCCCCATGCAGAAGATTAAGTCTAGACCCATATATCTTATCATGTATAAACTAATATCAAAACAGATGAAAGAGTTAAATGTTCAAACAGAAACACTGAATCTGGTGGAAGATAAAATAGCTTCAACCCTTGAAGATATAGTCGTACACTAAAGGACTTTCTGAGCAGAACCCCAGTGACACAAGAAATAGTAGCACAAATAAACAAATGGGATTCTATCAAATTTAAAAGCTTCTGCACAGCAGAGGGAATAGCCAACAGAGTGAAGAGACACTACAGAATGGGAATATTTTTCCAGCTGTTTGTTGGACAGAGGACTAGCATCTAGAATATACAAAGAAACCATAATAATTACCCTCCCGATGAAAGACATATAGTCTTCTCAGAGGAAGTAAAAATGCCCAATAAATACATGAAGAAATGTTCAACATCATTGGCCATTATAGAAATACAAATTAAAACAATACTGAGGTACCATCTTACTCCAGAAGGAATGGTTATCATAAAAAATCTAATAATTACAAATGCAGGTAAGTCTTCTGAGAAAAAGGAATCTTCCTATGTTTTTGGTGGGTATGTAAATTACTACAGTTGCTATGGAGATCAGCATGCAGATTCCTCAAAAAACTAAAAATAGAAATTCCATTTGACCCAGCTATTTCTGTTCTACAAATCTTCCTGAATGAGTTAAAAATCACATTACAGTGATACACTTATACCTGTGTTTATAGCAGCACAGTTTATAATAGTTAAACCTCAAAAACTGTATCTATAGGTCACCATTAATATATACAGGTCCTTTATCCACATTTATCCTTATGGTTTTCTTTATGCATATCAACAGATAAGTAGATAAAGAAAATGTATTTATACACAGTGGAGTACTACTCTGCTATAAAGAAGGATAAACTTGAGCCATTTGTAGGTAAATAGATATACTTCAGTACCGTAAAGGTGATTGAAATATACCAGACACACAAGTTTAAACATCACATTGTTTGTCTTATATGAGAAACCCAAAATATAAATAAGGAACAAAATAAAAGATCAGAGGAAATCAAGAGATCTTTTTCAAATGAAAAGGGAAAGAAGAGAAGCAGAGGTGGGGAGGGAAGGAAGGGAAAAGGATGAAAAATGAGAACTGAAGAAAAAAATGGAAATGGAGCTTTGCAAATGGGATGGAGAACCCTAGTTGGAGGATTTGATTACCTGGCGTATGGAATTATGCTCTTTGGTGTGCATGAGGCAAAAATGAGAGAGCTGAATCTGCTAGTACAAGAATATATAAAACCTGAATTGGTATCAGATTCAGAAATGTGCTTTGAATGTTTGCTCCGTGTTTTTGACTGACCTCTCCTTCCTGTATCCCATGATACCTTCTCGGCACCTCCTAAACCCCAGAGACAGCATGTCACAAGCAGTCGCAGGAAGTGGGTCAGGAAGGAAGGGCACCCTGGTGCCTTGCACAAGGGAGTGAGGTGGACTTCATCAAAAGACATACGTGTGCTTGCTCGCTTACTTTTTCCTTATGAGGCCTCTCTTTTCCCTTCAGTTAATTCAAAAGTCATGATATTTGTTGTTTTAAAAAAATCACCATAAAACCAAACTAAAATATAAACTAAAATGCAAATTGCTATTTTATTTCTTATTCTATTTGATGTGTTTTATATATTTTGATCTGCACACTTCTATATAGTTTTATTTTATAAAAACTGTGACACAGAATACATATTATTCTGCAACATTTTTCATACTTAAAAGTTATAAAGTCACTTTTTTCATTTAAACTCATGTAGTTTTACTCTCCTGCACTTAATGGCTGCATTCTTTATTTTTCTGCCTTAAATTATTGTAGAGCAAGTACAACTTGTCCGATATTTCACAATTCTATAGAACAGTCATGTGCATTTCATAATTTTATCATGTTTCCTATAAACATAAATTCATATTCTTCACTTGGCATGCTCTAACGTGGGTTGAGAAATCCTTCCCTCCCCAGACCCTCCCCAAAGTCTTGCTTACGTCTGCAGTATGCATCTCCTTTCTTTTGCAACAGATGAACAGCAAGCATTCAGCAATGAAGAGATAAAAATCAGTTTGGGGAGCTTCTCAAGCAAAACTGTGCACCAAAGAATAACTTCCTTGAGGAGGAGTATTTTTATATTGCAGTGATTGCCGTTCGAGGAACAGGTGTTTGGGATCCCACTCGGGAGAACGGGAGATGGAAGAGGTTGGGGAGGGAAAGATAAAGTTTCCCTGGCTACAGTCCCATGGGAAAATCAGAGAAACAAGGGAGCCGACCAAGGAGTGGCCCTGGAGCTTACAAGGGCACCCCAGTGCCTTCGGTGGGGAAAGGTGCTGCAGAGGAGATGAACACGTTAGCTAGGCTCAGCCAGGATGAAATTGCAGTGTAGCCAAGACCAATGTGGAAATACCATCACTTCCTGTTCCTACATCACCAGAAATGGGTCCTCTTGATTTCTGTAAGCAAAATTTATTTATTATGAACAGTTTTGCAGTTTACAAGAAGTTTACATGTTCATAAGCTCCTCTAAGGTCCCAGAATGCTTTAGTGGATAGAGTGGGTATCCTGTGCCTCACTGACAGAGAAAGTTAGATCAGAACTTAAGTGATGTCAAGTTACAGAACTGGTAATGACAGGGCTATTCTTTTACTTTTCTTTCTCCTTATTCAAAATTAAATGCTCCACCTTGAGAACATTTCCTTCAAGTCTTCAAGCAACAGATAAGCAGAATTCTAGAAAAAATAGATGTGCATCCTCTGACCTACCGGCCTAAGAAATACTTCCTGAAATTAATTTACTTACTTTTTACATGTACATGTTTTTTACATGTACATTTTAGTACATGTTAGTTAACAGAAAATTTGGCTTCATTCCAGTATATGAGTACACGCATACGCATTCTGTGATTGTTGTTCCCTTTATTTCCTCCCTTGCCGTCTCCTCTCTCTTCTCTGATCCCTTTCCTCTTCTCTCAGTTTCTCTTTCCCGTCATTATTTCAAGAAATTTACGATAATGATGCCATAGGCAAACTGCTCAGCCAGCTCTCACTTATTTTTTTATTTTCTGTAGCTTTTGAATTTGCTTAGCATCCAAGGGAACAGCCATGTACAAATCAAGTGGAATCCAGCTTGATCAGCACGTTTCAGTAGCGTGTGTTTTTACAGGCAGAATAAATGGAAAATATTGAGGGCATCTCATGCAGAAAAATGTTCATGTAGCGTCACTCAAGCTTCAAGGTAAATAGCTCAAAAACTCAGGTTTTTAAAAAGAGAGCTCTGGTAAATCTCTTGTGCATCTTCCAAGTTTGGTTTGGAAATAATTCATAAAATTAGGTGGAGAATAGTATTAGATTCTATCCGGAAGCTGGAATGGTTTGAGTTGTAATGAATTTTGTAGCCTGTTTAAAATTCCAGAGTGCTACAAACAGGCTTTAAGCAGACACCCAGCTACTCCATAGCTTGTATATAGCTAGCTTAATATGAAGTAGCTAATTACGCAGCACTTGCTACACACCAGGCACTGTGGCAGATACTGTATACACCAGGCCTTTAATCTTTGCAGTAATTCTGTAAACTAGGTACTGTTGCTCTCATCTCTGTTTTATGGATGAGGACACCGAGGCAAAATGCTTGCCTCAGAATAGGCAGCCTGAACATGACTGGCCTCAGCAGCTGGGAATCAGGGTATGTTCCAAACCAAGTAGTGCACTACTATCTGAATGTCCTTCATTCCCCAGAAGTATTTGTTTTACCTGAAGCACAGATATGCTCATTGTGATATAATCCATCTACTGTATGTACTTTCCTCCTCAGGCTAGCTGTGGTGAGGGCCAGGAAAAGAGCTTGTGTGCAGCCCTGGGTTACTGGCCTCATCAGCTTCCTAGCCCTGATTGTGCTGGCCGTGTGCATTGGACTCATTGTTCATTACGTGAGATACAGTAAGTATGAGCTGTCCTGGCAGCATGTGATTTACCCCACATATTTCCTCATGTCACCTCCTGTTTTGATTTGCCTTGGGCTTCTTCATTAATCCCGGTGATTCACTTGCACAGCCAAGACAAAGAAATCTTTGCCTCCTTTGTGCCTCTGTTAATCCCACAAACCCACGAAGGTGCTTCCTTCTGTCTTTGATGCGGCAATGCTTCCTGCTGGGAATAGTACACTCATTTTCATACTAATTAATAGGTGGTAATTGAGTCTTGAGGAAGACCACAAGTTAGCAGGGATCCAATATTTTGAGTTGTTTGAGGTCACAGCGCAATCATTTTGATTGAAGGTGCTTGAACTCATTGAAATCTTGATGTCCAAATAAACCAGTAACACAATTAGGCTCACGGAGAAGTAGGCTTTATTCAGCACTGCTGAGTTGGAAAAATGTTCATAATGTTAGAGAGTTGAGTAAATACTGATTTCTGTTATTTAAAATTTTATCTTGGGATAAGTTGTAAGTGGCTAAAGGGGACAAGATGTGCTGAGAGGGTTAATTATGAACTCACTGTGTGGTTATCAGATATCTCACTACCAGATGAACTGCTAGTTGCTATGTTATTAGAAATGTCTCCAGGGTACTTTAGAACTGTTCTTCCACAATATAACAACCCTTCTGAAGTTTCCTTCTATGCTGCTTTGGGTTTTAATTAGTTGACTCAACTATGACCTGTTAGTTTGATATCTCCCTGTGTGACTAGGTTATGCTTTGATGTTCAAGGTCCTGAAACCACAGAAGCTAATCACTTGGTTTTAATGTCGTAGGGAATTTGCTAAACATGATTTCTGTAAAAAGAGTGATCCACAATCTGGTTATCTTTCTCCACTCCCCACACAAATCCAGTCTTAACTTCCAAAGCAAAGAGCATCACTTTTGAGTAGTTTAAAGGAATGTTTAGAACAGAGGTGTGTGTGTGTGTGTGTGTGTGTGTGTGTGTGTGTACAAATGCTAATGTACATGTGTGCATGTGTGTTGTAGAATTTGCCCACGTGCAGGTTTTAAAATTTGAAAAATCTTCATTTTAAGAACAGAGATATCTCTGGATCATGCTTTTAATAAAAAAGAATATTAAAGTAACTTTAAATTCTACGGACTTGTTCGGAACCTAGTGAGTCCTATTATGTTGTAAGCATCATCATTTCTTCCTACAGATGCCTAAGACAATAGTTTATTTTTATTGCCAGAACTTAGCAGAATTCTGACACATATTAGGTGCTTTATAAGTGAGCAGTGATTAACAATAATACACAAATGAATCATACCTAGCGTATTTTCTTGGGATTATCTGGCTTCACAAAAATTCCTAGTAATGCTAAGTGCCCGACGACTTTTGTGAGGGAAATATTCCTTGTGTCTCCTTTGCCGCTTTACACGCAGAGTGTTACAAGATTATAGGTCTATTGAGGTGCACATAAGGAAAACCTGGAAAGTTTTTCCAGTAACCTGCTCCTGGATCCTGTGGTTTGGATGATGAGTTCAGAAATACAGAACGCAACCCTTGCACTGCCCACGCAGTACACCTGAAGAAGCAATGTTTATTTCAGTGTGGCTTGTATTTGTGACTTGCCCTCTGTTTGGGGACATAAATTAATAAAATAGTAGGTATAACCATGAGCATTTAGGAATCAACATGCCAAAATAACCAAGCCAAATCAAACAAATCTGTTACAGAAATATCAAAATATAGAGGAAGGTGATTGGATTTGTAAAAACGTTATCTTGACCCTTACTTCACAAAGGCTGGCTTAGAATTCTGTATGTAGTCTGTGTCCAAATCTCTGGGGCTCCATTTCTGCTCCTCTGTAATTTGGATGTCGGAAGGTAAATCTGATCATGAGTAACATCACTGCAAGTTACAGAATCACAAATGTGTTCGGAATTACGAATACACTCACATTCCTTGCCTCTCCTTTGACACTCATATAAATGTCTCAAATCTGCCCAAACTTCATTACTTTTGTGTTAATATTGCCAATGCTTTTGAGTATCTAGATGTATCATATAATTCTGGCAGCTTGAAATATGTTTTTAATACTTACTGGCCTATTTTAAGTCTACCAAACAAAGTAAAACATTGAGTATAGGTAAGTTGTTTGGATACTTGAAGCCTATGAAATTACCAACATTTGACCATATTTCATTTATATAAATGATAATTTAAAATAATTTAATCCAGTAAATAACTCATAAAAGCCAGGCTGAAGATTATTGAAGGTCTGTTATCCTACTTAGTGTATGTGTAAGTACCAGCTGCATCAGTACCACCTGGGGTCACGGTAGAACATGTTTGCAGTTTATGCAGTTTACAATCATCTTGGAGCATGCATACATGCACATACCCCAACTTGTTTCCTTTTTAATCACTTCTCCTTCCTCCCCCTTCCCCTAGTTCCTCCAGTTCATGTACTTCATTTTTCATTCTTGTTGATATTATTAATCTTAGCTTAGGTTAGGCCTATAATGTTTACATTCACTGAGGTTATTAGGCTCCTGTACGTGGCATATCTTCATTCTGCTTTTTTCCCCTTTCCTGCTTCTTCAAGCTTTGTCCTTGTTCCCTTGGACCATATTCTTATTACAAGAGATATGTCTCCTTGTCCCCTTCTGTCCATCTTTTATCATTCTCTCTGTACTTTGCCTCACTCAAATGAGAGATACCATGCAGTATTTAACCTTGTGTATCTGATTTACTTCACTTAACATTATATTTTTCAGGTGCATCCATTTTCCTATAAATGTGTCAAACCTGTCATTCTGTATAGCAGAGTACTATTTCATTATATGTATATAACAGCCTGGGTAATCAGGCTGTTTCCAGGATTTAGCTATTATAAATTGTGCTGCTGTAAACATTGGTATGCATGTATCGCTATAGTATAATGTCTTAAAACCCTTTAGGGAAGATACCTAGCAGGAGGATTGTTGCATCATGTAGAATTTCTAATTTCAGTGCTTTGAGAAATTTCTATAATGGTTGTACTAGTTTACATTCCCACCAACAAACTCTTGGATCCAACTTTAGGCCTACACACTGAAATCTGCATGTTTCACAGGAGCCACAGGTGGCCCACTTGTACATTGTAGTCTGAGAAGCAGCCCTGTAGAACAGTGAAATTAGCCATACAGAACTACAGACAGATGTGAAAAAGAAAAGCAATTATAGTACAATAGTAGTTTAGAATGATAGTTACATTATTTTTCAATATTTTAGTAAGTTAAAGCCTTACTTGAAATTATGCATCGCCAGAGACATACCTGCATTTCATATTACCCTGGCCATTCACGGCAGGGCCATTTAGGAAAAGGGAGGTGAAGGAATCATAGAAGAGCAAAACTTCCCCCAGTTTTCAGTGAGGTCACAATCATACAGGGGACCTGTGACTTTCAGTGTCTCCACTTTGACACGTTTTTCATCCATTGCCACTTGCCACCAGGCCTTTCCAGAGGTTGGCCAGTGTCTTGGTTACTTTTCTCTCGTTGCTGGGACAAAATACCTGATGCACAAAATTAAGGGAGGAAAGGTTTATTTCGCTTACAGTTTGTGGAGGTTTCAGTCCGTACTTGGCAGATTACAAGGCAGACTGGCACATGGCAGAGGGCTACAGCTCACCGTGGCAGAACACAGCAAAGCAACAAGCACACACCAGGGTGGAATGGGGGAGGAATGGCCTCAAGCACCCTTTTCTTCTCCCTTACATATGCAAACTATCCACCCCAGGGCAGATGTAGCTCTCAAACCCATAATCAAACTCTAAAAGCCTGCCCCATGGCCGCATGAGGCTTTGGGGGGACACCCAAACACAAACCATAACAGCCAGCAACTCCAATCTCTGTCTCACCAAACCTTCTGGATGACTGGGTGGTACTTTTGATATTTATCAGCGGTTTTTGGTGTAAATTGTATATTAAAAAATCCCACAGCTTCAGAGTGGCTTTGGTTTTATCCTACTTGAAGAAGCGGTGTGTGAAAAGGAGTCTGTGCTTTAGTACTTAGACCTTGGCTTGATCTGTATTTTCTGGCTGTGTCACATTGGGGCTGGGGAAATTGCTGCATTTCTCAGATTGGAACCCCTGAATGTGAATCATATTGCCTTCCCTGCGGACACTTGCAAATTAAATGAAATACACGAATATGCCTGAGCAGCTTGTGCTTGGGATGAATCTCCTTTTCCACCGTGGTTTAAGTGAACAAGAAAAGAATGGGAAGACATAGGGAGAAGAGAGAGATTGGGATTGGATGAGGACAATCCATTTTTCTGTAATAACTATATGCAACTCTCTTGGACACTATTGTATTCTTAATGTCTGTCACTGAGAGAAGTCAGTATTAATATTCATTGAATGGATAAATAAATCTTGTACAGTTCTGTCCTTGCTTCATGTGTAGGGGGAAGAAGAAAATGCTGCTCTGTCCTAAGTCATTAGTACACCCACAGTGTGGGATGTTCAAATTGGATGCTGAGTAGAGACAGTGGCTAAGGACCACACAAGACACCTGAGGGTGCTGGGAGAAAACCAGTGGAGTTACAAGGGGACAGGTGAACTAACAGTGCTGCCAGAAGCCTATGACAATTGCTAGTGCCAGCTTCCTAAATTTTTCTTTTCAGAATTCCTAGCACTTTAATTTCTACTCTTACCTCTTCAGTTAAAACAGGTTTTCTCACACTAGGTCCTTGTGACGAGAAATGATGTGTCATTTACTGAATTGGAGAGAAATCTGCTGTTGAAACGTTTAAACAAAAGCATTTACCCTTAGAAAGCTTCTACACATCCTTGTTTATGTGCTCAGATAGCAGCACTTGCCATTCCAGTGGTTTATTCAGGAATGGAAAACGCATGAGTAACCAGCCCACACCCACAGGCCCATATTTGTACAATACCCCAAGAACACCAAGTATTTCTTACAGCTTTTGCATGCTAAATCATATGACAATGGATGTTGCTGTCTTTTCTTCTGAGATAAGCCTGGAGAAAGATGATGCAGATGTCCTAGGGGAGGAGCATTCCTTTCTGTCTTAGTCTTTCCAGCAGTCACTAAATGGCATCATAATGCTATTCCACGTGCATCTGACAGGAATTATTATGGGTTGTTGTCTCTTTCCTTGTAGATCAAAGGAAGACCTACAATTACTACAGCACATTGCCATTCACAAGTGACAAAGTGTATGATGAGTTTGGAAGAGAGGGTTCCAAAAATTTCACAGAAATGAGCCAGAGAATTGAATTAATGGTAAGCAGTTTTTCTCTACTTTTAGAGCCCTTGCTGTCACTTTTTACCATGCATTTTAGTATCCTAGCTTCTAAAAAGAACATTCAACTGATCCTTGCATACCTTTACAAAATGGTAAGAGGCCATACATATGTGCTATAAAGCAGAATTAATCCTACAGGACATAGAAGAGTGTGTCTTTCAGGTCTGAACCAAGGGCCTGTAGTCATTGATTTATGCCCCTCCTACTCACCTTTCCTTAGCTGCTGCCACAGTTTTGGTTGGTAGACTCCAGAAACTCAGGGAATGTACAGATGGATCAAATGCGGTAGTTGTATTGTAGACTTCCTAAGAGAACCTGAGCCATGATTGAAACTACTCAGACACACACACGAAAAGGGTTTTACCTTTTCACAATATGTGACCATGGGCCAACTTTTGGTACACGCTTCTACAGGAAACCCATGGATTCCTCTCTCTATCCTTAAAGTGTCAACATTTATATTCAGGGTTGAATGAAATATTTGAAGGCCTTGAAAAATTAGCATTAGAGACCAAAAGAATGAGGGTCTGAGAGATGGATGCTCGGCATTATCAGAATATACAAAGAATAATTTGACTTTCTTTCTGTGAGTTAATTAATGGATGATATGCCAGAAAGGACACTGAACTAGAAGTTGGAACCTCTAATTCTAGTCCCACCACAAGCCGGTGGTGTGCCACTTGGCACATCTCTTTATCATTCTGGGCACATTTTCTTACATGAAAATTAAGGTGGTCAATTATATATTTTTCAAAGTGTCTTCTAGTGTCAGTGTCTTGAATTAGAACATAATTGAAGTGATTTGTGTCAGTTTTTCTTTAATGAAATAGAGGACAGCTACTTCATCAAGAAAAAAGGTTCATTTTGGCTGATGGCTCTGGAGGTGGGAGGTCCGGGAACCACACCTGTTTCAGTTCTCTTACTGGCAGCATCTCCAGGTGGCACTGCATATCACATGGCACATGATGAGGTGCACATATGTGTATGTGGGTTTCTTCTCTTCTCTCTTCTTATATGGCCACCAGGATTCAGTTATGGGGCTTTTCTCTAATGACCTAGTCACCTTCCAAATGCCTCACCTCTTAACATCATGGGCAATTTAAATTTATACTTTTTTGAGTGTTTTTAAAATTTATTTTAAAAATAAAAGAAGGAAAACATATTAACAAACAGATACCCTTTTACAAAATAGCATAAGAACAATACAAACAATACAGAGTTACAGACAATGTGATAGGATATTAACAATTGTTGTTGAATTACGTATTGATATCTTCAAAGTGGTTTCTCAGGAAAACAAATAGAGACATGCAAAATTGATCAAATAAGTAATCATTAACTGGTCCTTTCAGTAAAGCGAGAGAAGTCAGTAGCACAACTATGTTAGCTATCCTGTATATACATACATACATAATTTCCCCTTCTTTCTTTATACTTTTTTGATACCTCACAGTGAGGATTAAATTTCTACAAGGAAGTCCTTGGAGAAACACAAACCATGTCTAAATTATAGCATGGCCACACTCCTCCCCTCTGACAAACTCTTGAACAAAGTGAAAGCCAGAAGATTTGGTTATCTTGCCCAGGAGGTTAAATCCTGCTTACATCTGTGTATGCAAGCAGCAAAACAGAAACATCTGTGAAGAAACTCTTAAGGCAAGATATAAATAGATTTATAAAATAAAAAAGGAAATGGAATTTAAAAAGTCAAGAAACAATGCAACTATTTTCCTTGTTCTTTTGTGCCATTTGCCAAATTAAATTCTTTAAGATTCAGATCAAATTGATCTAAACAAATATAGATAGGACTCTTTATCAATAATACCTCCAATATTAATAATACTTTTGAAATTATTTGATAAAAATAGTCCTAGGTAAAAATGTTCAAGAAGGTAACTATTTACAGGGCTTAGTTGTTTTACAATTGTAGGAACTATACTTGACTACACAGACTCAGGAGTCAATGAAATGTAAGAAACAGTCTCCAGCTATCTTAACTGTGCATAGTAAATAGTCACAAAATAAAGACACAGAACCCTGAAATGTTTACTTACCTACACTTCTAATTTTAAAAATTCAGTTCATTACAAGTACTATTTAAAAGAAATATAGCCAAAAATACATGCTTCCATTTTATTAGAATAACACTCACTCATGTGTTTGTTAGGTAACCCAGCTCACATGGCTTTCTTAGAGCATTTTGTTGTTCTGGGTACGCATCGTACCGGAATATTTCGCAAATTTTTCGTTAGTTTTGAGAACCATGTGACACTACTACACACCCGTTTCTGTAACTCAAGTATCACTTGACAAAATTATTTCATTTTCTCTGTCTACCTACAGGAAAATTCCTGGTTTCAGAATGTAAATACTGACCTTTACTTTTTAAAAGAAAACTTAGTTTTTAACATTTTAAAAGTTTTAAAATTTTGATGTCTTTCTCAGTAATACAGCAGAAGTCACCTCCGACCTCATTCTGCTGTCACGCTTAGGCGAGTGCGGCAGGCGTCCCCAGGGGTGAGGCGGGCAGACTCCTCAAGTCCAGCACCCCATGGAACGGCTGTCAATGTTGTTTATTGTTTCCTTTAAAAAAAATTTCCCTAGAGCTTTGAATTAACTTGTTTGGTACCAATAAACTGTTCTTGCTGACACATTTTAAATATTTTTGAACAGGTAAAAACCGCATTTAATAAATATCCACTAGAGGGAGAACTTGTCAAGTCTCACATTATCAAGTTCAGGTATGTAGAGCTACAATACTGACTTTTTATCCCGTTTAAAGCTGGGCTATTATCTTGGTCACAATAAGTATATTTTAAAGTATTAGTGACATAATTCTATTCCACAAGCGTCTATTTCACACCTGTCCTGTGTAAGTCATGGTTTCCAGTGTCCCTTACTCATCCTCTAACTCTGATAGTGTACTGGCAAGGTGCTTACTAGAGATGCAGTATAATCCGTGTCTGCATGATAACGTTGTTATCTGGTGATCTAACACACACCCCTTGGTTTAGTTGCAGTACCCTATATAAAACAGTGCTGTAGAGATTTGTCTTTAGCTCTTGGTTCTCTTCTTTATCAGTTTTGTTTACTTTCTTCTATTCTAGAATAGAAGAAAGTATGCTTCAAATGAATCCCAGATCTGTCAATAAACTACCAATAAATAGACAAATTTAGAATATAAGATTTTAAATAAAATACTACATTTGGATTTTAAATAATCTATTGTTTTAAAGCAAATTATTCAGTTGTTTTTTCAAAAACAAGATAAAACTATTTGCAGTATTCTTCTAATGACAAAACTCTAAGAATTTTTTCCACGTCTGTTACTTAGCTAATATCTCTGAAGCATTACTTTGACCACTCTCTTCTGAAAATTCGGTACTCTATAGTGTTTGAGATGGTGTCTGTCCTTGGATCTGCCTCTACTTTTCCAGTCTTTAAATTTCCACTCTCTACATGGCTTTGTAAATACTGGAATTCCATTTTCTAACCCAAGTGTGAACTACTTTTCTGATTTCTGTAACTATATGCTTGCTCATGAACATCTCCACAAAGAATAAAACAAGGCTACAGTGAACACATTCACGCACATGTCCTCATTGCACGCATAAGAGTGTATTTGAAGATTTATTTTCTAAAAGTGGCAAGTGCTATCAGAGAGGATAGATATTCAAATTTATAATATGCACAAAAGTCTCATATCCAAAAACTAAGAGTTTCATGTATTCCTATTTATGGTTTATGAGAGCAAGCATTGCTGAAGTGTTTAGTAATAACAGCATTAGGGAGCTGACTGTGAAAGGACCATTTGTGTAGACAGTGAAATGACTCCAAGGTAGTACATATGGCATTCAGCCTAGTTAATGCTTCTTCTTGAAAACTAATGTTACAAAAGTCATAGGAGTCAATGAAGCTTTCTAAAAGCCTTAGTATTAAGAATGGTTTTGGAGAACCTGAAGCTTACTGAAGAGAAGCCAGTAGGTTTAAGTGATAAAATTCAGCTCAATTGCCAAATGCACAATTGATTTTTTATTTACCACACATTTCTCTTGGTAATTTTGAATGGTTGACAAGATAAGTATTTTTATAACAATAATCATGCACTTGATTAGAGCTTTTGGTGGTTAGGACACCGTGAGCCTACTACCTTACCATCAGGGTAGCTGACTTGGAGTTTTTGTATGTAATAAACAATAGGAATTTAGAAGAAAATGTTTATGGCTTTGTGTGTGTGTGTGTGTGTGTGTGTGTTGCAAAAGAATGATAAAGAAGTAAAGACACGTTGTGATATTATCGTAAATCAGCCAACAAACCTTCTTCCCCTTCCTCTCTCCCTTTTTCCTTCCTTTCTTTCTCCCTTCCTTCTTTGCTGTCTCTTCCCGTTCATGCCTCTTTCTTCCTCCCTTCTTTCCTTCATTCCCTTGTCTTATCCTTTGGTCCACAGTCAAGAAGAATATGGACTGTTGGCTCACATGCTGCTCATTTTTACAATCCGTTCTACTGAAGATCCTGAAACCACTAATACAATTATCCAACATGTTCTACATAAAAAGCTGAACAATGCAGTAGGACCCCCTAAGGTTAATCCTGATTCAGTTCAAATTAAAAGTAAGTTGATTTTTGTTATTTTGTTTACTTCTACTACATAGAAAAATTCTATATTTTGAAGATCGATTTGGGAACTCATTATAATTTCTTGGATGACCTTTAATTCTGGGGTTCTGCTACCAACAGGACTTTGCTTTGTAAGTGAATTAGTCCTGGTAAAGTACCCTAATTTTTAGAAGGATCCTAAACATAGGCCTCCAGTCCAAGCTGGTCACTCATCCCTAGCAGATTCTTCCATATTGGACCTTATGCTTTAGCTGTAGAGTTCCACTCTGAATAGAGAAAGTTGCATTGTATATTTCTTTCCTTTTTCTTTTTGCTCTGTTTTACATTTGTGAGTATAGGATATAGATGGAATGGTTTGTGTTATTTACACATTTGCTTTTGGATAACATTAACATACCTTGTAGCTTCTTTTTAAAGACCATTTACTGATGAAAACATGATTTACTTGTATGTATTATTTGGCATATTTTGCAGCTATCATCAAAAGGACTGAAAAAGAGTTTTTGTTTTGTGTATTTATTTGTTTGCTCAAGAACTGTAAAGAACAAAATAAGTAGCCATGGGATTTCACTCTTAGAAAGTAAGAATTGTGAGATCTTCAGTGGAATGAAGATCTGAGCCATATGTTACAGAATAGCGCAGGTCTATAGAAATGCTATACAGATGATAAGTAAATTTTCTAGTGGTCATATTTTAAAACTTAGACATATGAAATTAATTTTAATAATTTATATATTGAATTCAGTGCGTTGGAAGCAGTAGTATTTCAACAGTCAATGTAAAATTGTCAGTGAGATATTTTACATACTTTTTTCTACTACTCATTGAAATTTAGTGTACATTTTGTTTTGATGGTACATTTTAATTTAGACTAGACATATTTTAGGTGTTCATTGGCCACACGTGGTTAGTGGACACAGTGACACATGGCAACATTAGACACCACAGGATGGGGGACAAGTAGAGAAAATGAATACAAAGTGCTCGGAGAAGAGATGCTCCTTCTAAGGAGGGGCCCAAGCTGTGGTCAGCTGCCTTCCTCGCTTAGGTAGAAGGCTTTAGCAGTAGCAGGGACAGCTACGTAGTCCATGCACTCCAGTGAAAAGTGAAAATAACAGGCCTTTTTTCAAAAGGCAAGAAAAAGTGACCCTATTTCACTTCATTGACTTCTAAGGAAAATAGTGTGTAAGGCAAAAGTGACTACTTTTATTTTTCTTTTTATATGGCAGTCTACCAGTGTTCTCTTCCTTCTGCTCACTGATGAGTGAGGAGGGGTTGAAGGGAATTCAGGGTTCCTTTTCTTTTTATTTCTTTCTATGTTATTTACAGAGAAAGCTCTTGGCTAATCCACAGAAGTAACAGGAGCAAAAAGGACACAAGAGGTCTCATGTTCATTTGTGTTTATTAGAATGCCCTTGCTTTCTTTCTAAGCACTTTCGGATCCAAAACAGAGCATATGGATTCTTGGGACTGCCAGTTGCGGCTTCTTTCTTAGTGATAGGTACAGCACACTTCCCTTCTGCTTGCTTGGAGTCTTGCTGAATTCCCACATATTTTGGATCCACCAGAATCTGCTTTCAGAATTTGCATTGTGTATGATACATACAAATGAAGTGGCAAGAAATTGTATCTTTTTCTGCAGCTTACATTCTGCTCCATTATCCTGTTTGACCTCACTTTTAAAACACAAATTATAGGTTACATTTTTTAGAATTTCTGTATATCAGCAGCAAAGCATTAAACTAAACACCAGGCCGTTTGAAGCATGGGATCCAGGATGGGTCACAAGTTACACATCTGTGAAGACCTCCTTGGCAGTACACAGCATACAAGGAGGACTCTGCCAAGGAACAGCTTGAGCAAGCAAGAGAGAGAACAAGTTATTTTAAACAAAGAGGTCGAAGGTGGTTCTCTTAATTATAACAGGTTAAACGGTCAGTGCTTTATATTTGTTATTTTTCTTGCAAATAACTATATGGACAAAGCCGAAAAGAAGAACTTTTAGAATATACATTTCCAGGAAGAATAGTAAAAAGAAATTATCAGATTAGCGTATTTGCATTTAGAACATCTATCATGCTGTATTTAAAAAGAGCACTTTTATCATTGGATATCCACTTGACCACAAAATACGAGAGCTTATAGGAGTATGTATTTGTTGTTTGAGTTACAGTTTGCATGGGGTTAGGGCTGGACTCCTGAGAAGTCAACAGGTAAGGAATTACTGGCTTAAGTTGAATGACAATTTACGTGCACACTGTCTTTCTAAAATGATAGCACAGAGAAGACTTAGACAGGTATAATCCTATTTTTAAATATGAATGAAGACCGATTTGTGCACATGCCACTTGGCTGTGTTACAGTTGGGACTAAGCTTAGGAGCCAGGTAAAATAGTCTGAAATAATGGTGAGAAAAGTAGCATTCCAGTTGGGGAGCAAATAATGTGGTTGGGATAGGTATTTCCCAAAGAGAGGTTGTGAACTAATGGAGTCTTATTTCCTGGTATAAAATTCGTACTCTTGCACTTTTAACACAAAACAACTGAATCATAATTACTGGGGAGGGAAACAGGAGTTCCCATTACAAACATGCTCCCTTTGACTATTACATGCATTAAAGTTCAAATTGTACTGCCTGTGCTGCTTCTCCTCCACAAAGCAATGGAAATACAGTGTCTGTGATAAACTGACTATGTTGCTTTCTTTATAATTCCAAGCTACTAGCTTATAATGGAATTTAGCAGACTTTTAGTGTTTGAAATATTCAGAGGCATCCTGCAATTCTGATGCACTGACCTCATTTTATACCATTTCTATGTTTTTCAGAAATCAACAAGACAGAATCAGACAGCTATCTGAACAGTTGTAAGTTTAATGTGTTTGTTAGGATTGCAGTAACCATATTGTCAAAGTTCTGACTCCAGGCCTAGCCTTTCCTATGCCTTCAGCAGAGTACCCCACCATGATTCAGAGAAGACATTTCCTACTTACAAAATCAGTGCATACTGCATTTATCTATAAAGAAGGGAGGTACTGTGTTACTCACCAGTTAGGAATGTTAATTTAATCAACTAATTAACTCTAGAGCCAAAAGATAATCTCATTATATAAATGACACATGTCCTTTTCACCAGTGTTTATTGGGCCTATCATAATTAGACAGTAGGAATACAAAAGGATAACATGTAACCTCTGCCTAACGTAGCTCATATGCTAGGACTAGATCCAGGAGACTTATGTATGAGCATACAGTTCCAGAATAATAGTTCTCAGCCAAGGGCAATTTTATTGCCCAAGGTATCATGTAGCAGTGTAGCATTTTTTCATGATTGTAGATTTTTTCATAATTGTAGATGCTACTGGAAATGTCTAATATACATCAGGCTGGGGTCCTCTACCACACTCAGTGAAGCTCAGAACAACTGCCCTCATCGAGAAGGATATGGTTCAAAATGTCAGTGGTGCCAAAGTTGAGAAACCATATAATAAACAATGCTGAGGAATAACTAATAATAATAATACTATATACACACAGAAAAGCACACATATAATATATACAAACATAATATGTGTTTTGTTGTTAAAAAGCATCAAAACAGTTATAACTAAACCAGTATGGAGGCAGGAAAATTGGGAAATCATCCTAGCAGAGATCATGACTGACCATTTTTACTGTTTTAACTTTGTTTTGTTTTTGTGTATGTTGTTGTTATTTTGTTATTTTTTATTGTCTTTAAAATAAAAAAGTGTTATTAAAATCTTACAAGATGAATAGAAGTTTACTATTAGAACGATTAAGGTCTATAGAAAAGTATGGACATGAGAGAACATTTGATACCTGAACACAAAGTACAAAAACATGGGTATGTAATAACACAGATTGATGCTTGGAACAGCTCCTGTTATTGTGAATGGTATTTTCCTAATTTCTTTCTCAGTGGGTTAATTATTGGTATATAGGAACAGTACTGATTTGGGTTTGTTGGGTTTTTTTATCCTGATACATTGCTAAATTTGGTTAATTCTTAGAGTCTTTTCTTGAAATTTTTTGGGTCATCTCTGTAAAGGACCATGTCATCTGCCAGTGGTGATAATTTGGTTTCTTCCTTCCTATAAGTATCCCTTTTATTTCTTTCTCTTCCTTGATTGCTCTGGTTAATGTTTTGAGTACTGTATTGAATAGGAGTGGTGACAGTATATATCCTTATTTTGTTCTTGATTTTAAAGGAAAAGATTTCAGTTTTTCCTCATTTAATATTATGATGGGAAGAGGATTGTCATAAATGACTTTTATCGGGTTGAAGTAAGGTCCTTGCATACCTATTTTCTTCAGATTCATTTAAAAATTGTGTGGGTCCTCTTACATGAGAAACCTGAACTACAGATAAATCAAAGAGCAAAATAAAAGGTAGACAATAGGAAATGAGATAGATACTTGGCAAATGAGAAGGGGACTAAGAGATGTGGGAAGGCAGGGGAAGGGGATGTAAAGCAACATTAAGATCAGTCACATAGATGTACCAAGTACCCACAATGAATGTCTGCATTATGTACTGTGAACACTTACTAGTGACACCTTTTAAAGAACGCAAAACAACTGTTAATGAGCGCATCATCTTTCTTTGGAGGCTGTGGGACCCGAAGGGTTCCATCGGCGAAAGAGAGCGTCAGGATTGTTGGTGGCACGGAGGTAGAAGAGGGAGAATGGCCGTGGCAAACCAGTCTGCAGTGGGATGGGGTCCACCGCTGTGGAGCGACTCTAATCAACGGTTCATGGCTTGTGAGTGCTGCTCACTGCTTTCAAAAGTAAGTCCTAGATTCGGGAAGGATTGAGGGTGGACAAAGTCTCTGTGGAAGAACCTGAAAGAGTAAATAAGATCCAAAAGGTACAGCAGATATTGTGAAAGGGACAGAAACTGGTCAAAAGGAAAGAACAACTGGGATGGGGGAAAGGAGAAAAGAAGGAAGGGAAAGTTAAAAATATATATATATCTATATACATACACATATATATATATACATAAGATAATTGTACTACTAAATTCTATCAGTTCATTGAAAGGAACAGTTAGTGCTTATATTATTGATCTACTTTGCATGCCTGTATCTGGTAATCTGAGCAACTACTTTGAAGACAACAATATGCAATATAATGACTATTGTTAATTTACTATCATCTTATTTCGAAATTCTGTATCATTTTTATTGTTTTTTTTTCCTCTCTTTAAAATTAAAAAAGGGCACTGTTTTCCTATTTACAAGTAGGTATCACAAAAGAGAGTTGAAGTGTCATAAACCTCAGTGAGAAGTTTTGTGTGCCGGCATTGAAAAAGTTATCAAAATATAGTTCTGTAGGTAATTATCCATTGATAAAAGTATGATAGTTTGTCAAAGAAAGCCAAACTTTAAAGGGTTCTTCATACTTTAAGCTTGATATGAAGGAGAAGAACCGAGTATCTTTATTGGAGAAGAGGCTGGACAGATTATAGGACTGACCTCAATGAAGAAATTCCATGGAGGAAGAAAGCTAAATTAAATATGAATAAATTGGGGAGTAGCAAATTATGCTACTGAATATACTGACTAGCTTTGTTATGAGGAATGTAGAACTTTTCAACACAGTGTCAGATAGCTACAGGATACAGAACAGTAATGCTTCATTAAATTATTGTATTGCCTTTTTAAAAATTTTTTTATTTTTGTTGTTTTTCTTCCGGTACCAGGAATCGAACTCACGACATTGTGCTTGCCAGGCAGGCGCTGTGCCGCTGAGCTAAATCCCCAGCCCTGTATTGCCTTTAGAGCTTCCAGAGAAATGTGCATGTTTGTGAGTTGAGAATATTGAGCACATAAAATAAATGTAATTTTCTAATTCTGTACAGGGTATTATTTCTGTATGGACTTTGAAGTCACAGTTGCCCCATAACACCAAAAGGCTGGCATTTATAACCTAACGCATGTGCCTTTTTGGCTTTTCTACCTGATCTACCCCCTGACCCTGGTTCTCAGATTAGAAAAGGTTTGTTTTAATAGATAGAAACTATTACTTTAAAAAGAAAAACTTATATTGACAATTTTGAGCTAAGCTATTTCATATAAATGATTAGATTGGTAGCACAGTAAAATAGAATTTCTTCTTTATTTTTTCTCCCTAGGTACAAGAACCCAGCCAGATGGACTGCTTCCTTTGGAGTAACAATAAATCCTCCAAAAATGAAGAGAGGCCTCCGGAGAATAATTGTCCACGAAAAATATAAACACTCCTTGCATGATTATGATATTTCTCTTGCAGAGCTTTCTAGCCCAGTTCCTTATACAAATGCAGTGCATAGAATTTGTCTTCCTGATGCAACCCATGAGTTCCTCTCAGGGGAAGAGCTGTTCGTGACAGGATTTGGAGTAGTACAAAATAATGGTGGGCATCTAAAGAGAAACTCAATCCTACTGACTTCATTTGAGATTCCAAGGCACTTAAGGAAAAGAATGTTTTTTATCCCAAAATATGTTGGTTGGTTGGTTGGTTATATGGACCAGAGTTAACTCAAGCTCTGTGTCATTTAGAAGATGTATAAATCATTTCCTGCCTTCATTTACTATTAATTACATAATTACTACAGTAATGATGCTGGTAAGGTATTTGAAAGAGAAATATATATTTCCTAGTCACTGGATATTTTACTAAAGAATTAGCCAGTTTGAGAGATATGAGAGCATTGATATAGCCAGTGGTGAAGACCAGGTAATCATAAATCCTCTGTTCTCTCCAGACAAAATTTCTTAACTATCTGGAATAGAACTTACTCAAAACAACTTGAGTTTCTTTCCTATGTACCTCAATTTTCTAGTCAGAAAGGAATTATCTTCTTAAATTTTAGTATATCTAAACCATACATATTGTAAGATTTAATATTACCATCTCACTTAATACTTATTAAAGACTTTCTTCAGTTTTACAAAGTCTACGTACATCTGCAAATAAAAGACTTTTTTTTCCTTTTAGGTAATGCTCAGAATCATCTTCGGCAAGTACAGATCAATCTCATAGACACAAAAACTTGCAATACCCCTCAAGTTTACAATGGTGCTATAACTCCAAGAATGTTATGTGCTGGTTCCTTAAAAGGAAAAAGAGATGCATGCCAGGTAAGTGGCTTTTTCTATTAGTGATATAGGAGAAATATAACTCCCAGCCTGATCCATGTCAGACATTCCAAGTTCTTGTCCCTTAATATCAAAGAACGAATTTCAAGGCACTAGGGAAGTTAAAAGTAGGAAAGTTGTTGACAGGTATCTCCTGAGAGACAGGGGGGTGTCCTGCAAGTGGGTTGCCACTGAGACCTTTTCTCAGGGGTAATTTATACAGCAAAGTCACAATGTGGGTCAAACTATATTCGACCCTTAGGATTACTAGTATAGCTGCTTAGCTAACACTGACCCAGTTGGGAAGTGGGTCACATAACAAGGGTACAATAGCAAAGAACAAAGGCATTCTATGGGAAGGGATGGGACTGTATGCTCTGGTCACTCACCTAGCAAACAGATGCCTCCCTGGACTTCCTGGAGCAGGTGGTGCTAATCAGAGTATACAATTCCAGGCTACTGCTTATCCCTTAGTGAGCATGGAGGGCTGGCCAATGCATCTCCGTCTTGAGGCGTGGCCTTCACGTACACCTCCAGCCACAATTCTGGTCTTTATTTTCCACTGACTTCCTTGAGAGCCCAGTCCCTCTCTGATTGTATATCAATTTCTATTTAACTCAGCTGCCTATAATATTAGTGTGCTGCATAAGATATTTTTTACCTTTTTTGCAATCACTATTGATTTACATAAAGTTGCAAAGAGATTATACAAGAGTTGTGTACCAGCTTTCCCCAGTGATTGCTTCTAACAACTATAGTATGATATACAAAAAATTAACAGGAGTACAAAGTGCATCTAGATGGATGGCATTTCGCCACATGTATAGATTTATGCAACCACCACTGAAATTAAGATGTTCCACTACAAAGATCTGCTTATCAGTATCATTCTCAGCCCCTACCCATGTTCCTAACATCTGGCAATCACTGATTTGTCCTCCATCTCTATAATTTTGTAATTTCCAGAATGTTCTATGAATAAAATCTTGCAGTAACCTTTTAGAATTTCATTTTAACTTATCTATTAATGTTTTCTACTATCTGTAGAATAATTTTAGTGGTTCTTTTGTTATCTGTCTCTGGTTCTGTCTTTCTCTCCTCCTCTCCATATATATATATATATATATATATATATATCTTATCATAGTCTACTGATATTAATATCTTACTACTTTAAATGGAGTAAAGAATAGAAAACTTATCTTCCTTCAATTCTTTTATTACTTCTGTGATTGGAATACTGTTATGTAATATTATAATAAATACAAATATTACATTTTTCTGTATATATTGAGAAACACATCATAGAAAACTTTGCTTCAATTTCCAAACATAACCTAGAAAACTCAAGAGAAGGAAAGCATATTTATTCAGTTTTGTTCTTCCCTCTTTTCTAATTTGATTATTCCTTTTTTAAAAAAAATCACTTATTTTCTGTGTCAGAAACTTCTATCAGCCATTATTATTACTATTATTATTGTTATTGTTATTATTATTTTTGCCTTTTTGAGACAAGGTCTGACTATGTAGCCCAGGCTGGCCTTGAATTCACAATGTAGCTCAGGCTGGTCTCAAACTCACAACGGACCTCCTGCTTCAGCGTACTGAGTGCTACAATTACAGGCATGAGACACCATGTCTGGCCAATCAGCCATTCTTGAGTGTAAGTCTGCAGCTGGAAAATTTTCTTAGATTTCCTTTGTCTGAAAAAGTCTTGGATAAGTAAGTCCATTTTATCTCATTCTGGAGCACGCACATCTTTTTGAACCCTGATTTTGCTACACAGGTTATATAGGTTTGTGTTCTCAACTTTGAGTCTTTGGCAGGTAAAAGTGTTGACCTCCACATCTTTATAGACACTACTGATAGTAAAACCTTGGAGGAGGCCAAACAGTGGTTATCTAGGTGTGTCACTAAATTCTCTTATAATATTTTTATTCATACAGAGTACATGATGTTTACATTCCTTTTAGGGCATGCATACATCTCCAGATCCCCTTGCCCTGTTATCATTATTATTATTTTTAGTTCATGTTTACGATCCGCGGTGAAGGTAGTCTATATGTTGTAAACATGAACTAAGGACACACTGTGCAAATGGGAAGGTGGGATAAGGTAGGAAAGGGGACGTGAAAGGTTTCAGATGCATCGTGTCCTTTTATCAGTCCTTTGTTTTGCTCTGTATTTGTTCCTTTGATTACTCAAATAAGAGAAACCAGATAGTACTTAAGTTTGTGTCTGATTTGTTTCACTTGTTATGTTTTCAAGGTGTATTCATCTTCCTAGAAATGCCTCAAATTTACCCTTCTTTGTAGCCAAGTAGTATTCCATTAGGTAGAGACACCACATTTTCTTTATTCATTCGCCAGCTGATGGACATATAAGTTGCTTCCAAGACTTAATTATTAAGAATTGTGCTGCTATAAACATTCTTGTGCATGTATTTATGTAATATGTCTCTAGCTGTTTTCAGAAGATACCCAGAAGGGGAGCCTCTGGGTCAAGTGGAATTTCTGTCTTTAATTTTTTGAAAAATCTCCATACTGATTTCCATTATGGTTGTACTAGTTTGCTTGTCACTAGCAATGTGGAAGGGCTCCTTTTCCACTGCGGCCATGCCAGTATTTCTTATTATCTCATTTCTTGATGGTTGTCATTCTTTTTGGCACAACAAAAATCTTAGTGTTGTTTTAATTTGCATTTCTTTAATGGCTAAAGATATGGAGCCTTTTTTCATATATTTATTGGCCAATGAATTTCTTTTTTTTTCTTTTTGTCTTTTTGAGACAGGGTCTTACCGTGCAGTTCAGTCTGGTCTTAAACTCCTTTATACCCTAGGCTGGCCTTAAACTTGCAGCAATCTTCCTGCTTCAGCCTCCAGAGTACTGGGATTATAGACATGTGCCACCACTCCTGGCTGACCAATGTATTTCTTCTTCTGTGAAATGTCTATTCATTTCACTCACCCAGTTTTATTTGGTCTTTTATTTGGGGGATCTAATTATTTTAGTTCTTTATATATTCTAGATATTAGTCCTGTGCCTGAGAATAGCTGACAATTTTTTTCTCATTCTGTAAGTTGTCTTTCACTGTGTTGGTTATTTTGTTTTATAGGAGATTTATAATTTGATGCAAGCTCATTTTTTTTTTAATTTTAAAAATTAAAAAACTGGCAAAAAAACAATGTAGACAAAATCAAAACAACACAAAAACAACAAAATGATACATGACCTCCAGACAAAATGATAGAAATTTACAGTGGTTGCTACATTGCATACTGTTACCTTCAACAAAGTTGCTCAGTCCATTAGACATAATAATGTAAGATTGATCAAACAAGCAAAGACAGTTATCCCATTTGTTGATTCTTGTTATTTTGTGTGCAGTTGGAGTTCTGTTGAGAAAGTCTTTGCTTATACCAATGACTTCAAGAGCTTCACTTATTTAATCTTTCAGTGGATTAAGTGTTTCTGCTATAATATTTAGACATTTGTGTATAATATTCAGACAGTGTTTCTGCTGTAAGATTTAGATCCATTTTTATTTTAGTTTAGTACCTAGGGAGAGGTATGGGTTCAGCTTTAGGCTTCTGCATATAGACAGTCAGTTTTCCCAGCATTGTTTGCTGAAGAGTCTACTTTCCTCCAGTGTCTGCTTTGTCCATAACCAAATAACTGAATGTATCTGGAGCTGTTTCTACCTTCTCTATTCTGTTCCATTCATCTGCGTGTCTGCTTGTGTGCCAATACCATGCTTTTATTTTTGTAAATCTCTGTAGCCTTGTAGTGTAACTTCAAGTCGGGTATTGTGATGCTTCCTGCTTTGCTCCTGTTTCCCCGCACTGTGTTTGCTATTTTGAGTCTCTTTTGATTCTATATGAATTTTAGATTTGTTTGCCTTAGGTGTGTAAAGGAAGGTTTTTTGATTAGGAGTGTATCAAGTCTATATGTCAGTTTTGGGAAAATGGCCATTTTGACAATATTTGTTCTGCCTCTCTAGGAACAGGGGATATCTTTCCATTTTCTGGTGTCCTTTTTAAACTCCTTTTCCAGAGTCCTGTGGTTTTCTTTGTAGAAGTCTTTCACTTCTGTGGTTAGATTATATCCTACATATTTAATTTTTCTTGATGTTATAGTGATGGTATTGTTTTCCTAATTTCTTTGTCAGTGAGCTTATTATTGGTATACAGGAATGTTATTGATTTTTATGTGTTGATTTTGTATCCTGCTACACTGCTGAACTTGGTTATTAATTCTAGGAGACTTTCAGTGGAATTTTTGGGGTCTTCTATGTAGCAAATCATGGCATCTGCGAATACTAAATACTTGACTTCTTCCTTTCCTATACATATTCTTTTTTATTTGTTTCCCTTCCCTGATTGTTCTGGGTAATGCATTGAGTGCTATGTTGAACAGAAGCAGTGAAAGTGGGCATCCTTGTCTTACTTATAATTTTGGAGGGAAAACTTTTAGTGTTTCCCCATTTAATATGATACTAGCTGTTGATTTGTTATAAGTAGATTTTTTGTCACATTCAGGTTAGTTCCTTTTACATCTATTTTTTCAGGGTTTTTTGTTATCATGAGTGGACACTGAATTTTGTCAAATGCTTTTTCTGCATCTATTGATGTGATAGTGTGGTTCTTGACCTTGCTTCTGTTTCTGTGATATACTGCATTTATTGATCGGCATATATAGATCCAGCATCGCAACCTTGAGATGAAACTTACTTGTTGATGATGTATGGTCCTTTGATGATTTCTGCATTCTATCTGCCAATTTCTTATTAA